CAAGTATGATGCTGCCATTTGGAATACATATGAAAAGGCAAAGGTTAGATTGCAGGCGTACTACTAGGTTTCCTGAAAATCAGGTTCAATCTACTTCAAATTATATATATTTTTAAAAATCCCTAACATTGCTTTGTGCTTATATAAAGATAACTGGTAACAGATCTCTCAATTATCTTTCCTTAGAAGTTACTTCAAGCAATGCAAAGTGTGAATTTCCAGTTACATAGCAAGACATCTCTTCCACTTTGATCCATCCATAGCCTAAATCTTCTCCAGGTGGATTCTCTAGATATCAAGAACAATTATATCCAATGTGGAATGTTATTCTAGCTGGCAGAACACTACCATGGAAACAGAAGGGTAGACTTGAAATAGGATAACTCAGCAGTAGACTTCAAATTAGAATACCAAGGTTCACATTTGCTTATCAATTCCAAAATAATACATGATTATGTTAGACCACTTACTTTTGTAGCACACAACCTATTAGAAGTTAGGCACCTAAGTCCCTAATTTGAAGCAAAGGAGATGTGCTTAAAACTATTTGAAGAGACTATGACAAGTGGCCAATGAATGAGTTGACGCAAAATCTATGAGCAAGAATATTAATATTTAAAGTCACATTTTTGTTTTAACTCTATTTTAAAATAACTTGATTAATGGGAAGAGATTGATTGGGTGAATCTTTGTTATATTTAATATCAATAATTTATTTAAACGAAATGAAAAGTAATTCAAGTTTACCCATATAAATAGGTAGTTGTTAAGTCCACTCACTGAAGAAAGTACGATGTGGCAAAAACATTTGGCCCATACGTTATAATTTATTCCCAAGGTAGCAGAAATAGCAAATAGCTAATAAAAAATAGTAGGTAATCAGATGTCACAGTAGAAGCATGGATTTATGGTATTTAGGTGAAATGTCTTGTCCTGAGTTCAACTTTAGAGCAACTTGGTCCAATCTTATCTGAAGCAGTTCAATGTTTCAAGTTCACAAAGTTTTGTACCTATATCTCTAATGTGAAATCTGCTTCTCTGTGGCCTCACATAAGGGGCCGTGTTTGCCAAGACTATAAACAAAACAAATATAAGTTTTGAGAAATTTTGGAAGTATTGTATATAAATAATCCAAATGAATAATAAATTACTTTTGTAATTGGTATTATATTTATTATATTCTAAGATATTGTCAAGTCTGAATTTTATGATGATTGTATTACTTGGAACCTGACAGATATAGTTATATAAAACTATTCTGTAAATTGTATTAAATATTTGTACAGCACATCACATAATTAATAGCAACAAGTTCAACAGGATTATTTCCTATTAAGTTATAAACCAGTACAAATTATAGAAAATATACAATACTGCCTCACTATTAACAGAAATCTTAAAAGGAATATCAATATCCTCTTGTAACAAAGGCAACAAGATAAACTTAGATGAACCTACTTCAACCAAGCAATGAGCTTGAATACTGTATACTACCTTTTCTTAGAAAAACAAATTTACATTACCTTTGAAGAAGTTTAATCAGTAGGGAGAACTAGATCACACTATATTCTAATAGAAAAGACTTCCCAGTTTTGTTTACACCTTTGTAACATATAGGTAGTCCTCGATTTACAACAATTGAGTCCAAAATGTCTGTTGCTAAGTGAGAAAGCTGTTAAGTGAATTTTGCCCCATTTTAGGACCTTTCTTACCACAGTTAAGTAAATCACTGCAGTTGTTAAGTTAGTAACATGGTTGTTAAGTGAGTCTGGCTTACCCATTGACTTGTCTGGTCAGAAGGTCACAAAAGGTGTTCACATGACCCAGGCACACTGCAACCATCATGTGAGTCAGTTGCCAAGTGTCTGTATTTTGATCACATGACCATGGGGATGTAATGATCGTGTGAAAAATGGTCATAAGTCATTTTTTTTTCAGTATCATAACTTTGAACAATCACTAAATAAACTGTTGTAAGTCAAGGATACCTTTATTCTAGTTTTAACTTCTTGAAAGTCAAGAATTACAGGTCAAACGTCATGTATGCTGCCTTGAATTCTTGGACGAAATGTGAGATATAAATCTAATAAATAAATCTCATAACATGCATGTGAAAAATGTGAAGAAACAAGTTTACAAAACAAGTAAAAATTCTAAGACACTTCAAAGGAATACACTGGGAAAAGTTAAACCCTGGAAAGGCCAGATTAAATTAATCTCTGCTTGCTAAATAAAAAAAAATATTAACACAAGAAATGTAAACAATGTAAATATGTTTTTATTATACTATATAACAGAACTAGATAGCAAAGATAAATTTCTAGAATGATTTTTTTCTTTGCAAATGTCAGAATGTTTATAATAGGGAAATTAAAATACAACAATACAATAGGGCCAGATAGGTTGCAGCACCCAGGTAATTCTGGATGATATTGAAAGACCACCAAATTAGGCTAGGAAGACTGATCAGCATCCTGGGAAAAGACAGTAACAAAACACTTTCATATGACTGCCAAGAAAATGAACATAGATTTGCCCAAGTAGTCACTCAGAATCAAGCTCAATTTGAATCTTTACTTTTTTTTAATATAGTAAGCTAAAGCAGAATAAAAATAGCATTCATTTTAAAAAGATGGGGGGAAACAAGAAAAACATGGAAACTATTCATGCAACATTCATATAGAAAAGTTCTTATGAAAAGGTAGATCTTCATTAACGATCTTAAAGACGCCACTATAAATGCCTCACTAATATCAAAATGGACTGCATTCCATGTGCTAAAAGTAAAAAGGCCCATCTGAAGTTTTGCAAGATGGCACTCTGTGGTTCTCAGCACATGAATGTTAGCCATTTTCTTCTCAAACTAGAAGAATCAAAGACATGTCTCCTAAAACATAAAAGAATCAAACTTCCCTTGGGTTCTAAAAGAAACATGTTGTTTCAGTAAAGTTGAATAAAAAGAACAATATGGCTTTAAATATGTTTATTTCAGAATTACGCCTACATGTAATTCTACACGTATGCTTTCAAGGGGGACATCCTTTTTTGTTCATTACACCTTTCATTGTCCTTGTGTATAAACAGGGAAAGCAAGACAATTAAAGCAAACAGTCTCAAAAGGAGTGGCATGTTATTCCTCCTCTTCAAACAATGGAAGGTAATATGTTTACTTTTCCTAACTGGCAAGCAATCATACATCCCAAATCAGGTAATTACTCCAAATACTTACTTAATAGTCCAATCATAACACACACAAAAATCCCATTTGTGGACCTGGAAGAATGTTTTAGTGGTTCTGTTGAAGATATTGGTAGAGGACCTGAAGAACAAAGTCAGGGACCAATCATCATGGACAAAATCTATGTGGTCAGGAAGAGTTGACACTGACTTAATGGCACATAATCAATATGTTGCAGATGTTGAAGGAAATTCGGTACTATAAAATTTAGAAATAATTCGTAGAAATACACTCTTTTTTGAGAGATTTAAAAAACTCTCTGTAAATTAGCGATATTTTTGCTATTTACATGTACACCAGTTCATCCTACATCTGGACATTATTACCTTTTCAGAAATTTGGAAATATTATAAAACCTGCATTAACTGAAATACACTTGTCAATTTTTCTCTGTTCTATTACCTAGATACGTCTTCATACTGTATGTTTGCTAAATTTCAACCAATTCCCAGGAGACAGGACAAAATTGTTCATAATTATTGCTGCACAAGTTGCTTATGTTCAAATGTTATGACCATGACTGTTTAATAATCAAATCATTTTACCCCAAAACACTTTTGAAATCATTTTACTTAAGACTGTAGTTTTATTTCCAGTATGTTTTAAGCTTATTCCAAAAACTACTGATCAACAACTTGAACTAAATTTCAAACCACTAAATAAACTATACTGAGCTAATATATTCATTAAAATAACTGAAAGTTTAAAAAACTTTTCATTACATAAGATGGACAAAAATTCAGAAAAAAGGGTGTAGCAAATAAATTTTGTTCTGTACCATTCTTACATGAAATATTTTCATCAACAAGCTATCCAGAAACAATGCTTTCCCATAACATTATAAAATAAACAAGTCACAGCTTTCCTATTCTATTCCATTTCACTTTCTCATACCATACAACATCCTAGCCTAGAATATCCTGCAGGAATGAAAAACAATTAGCTAGGTAAGATTAAAAGATGGAACATAATATTCATAGGCTTTCACTCTTCAAAGTATGAAGTTAACATCTTCATCAGGTTAAGCCCAACTCTTGATGACTTCAGTCTTCTCCATCTCATCTACCCTAAACCAGAATTATCACTTTAATTTTTAATGCAGAGATAGTGCATACAATCCTGAATTATCATTTCTCTATGTACATGTCCTCATACTGATTCAGACTTATGTTAGCATAATCTAATACCAAATGTATCTTCCTAATATTCATTTTTAAATTTCATAAATTAAATTTAGGGTTTTACAAGCGCCACTACTTTGGGGAGAAGAATAATTTCTTTTGTCCTATCAAATGTGCAATAGAAAAATCCTGAATAAAACTGGTTGTATAATGCCACCCTCTCAGTATTTAGATTAACAGAGAAAAAAGAAAAAGCATACATTCTTCATTTAAAAATATCATTATAAAAGTGCCATTGTGGGTTTTAGATTTTTAAAGAGAAATCACTTATGCATAATTGTGAAGACGGTAGATGTAAAATTGGAGAGGCCCAAATTCAAGCACACCTTCACCCAAAGCATTCTGGATAAATGTTCTCAGTCAAATTTACCTCATAGGGTTTCTGTTGTGAGAAAAACCAGGAGTACACTGTCTTGGGCTGCTGCAGACTAGATAGGATACAAGCCTCACAAATACAGTAATATTTTCCAAAACTGTTAGAATCATCATCATTTTTCAATAACTTTGATATGATTCATATGTTAACTGCATTCATAAAATACTCCTGCCTTCCCCCTTTAAAAAAAAATTGGTGATCTTACCCGGTGGTTCCCCCCCCCCCCCCCACCAAAAAAAACGAACCATAGCAGCTGTCTCCAATGTGTAAAAACAGAGTTGACAGATCTCCCCCCTTTCCCACTTGCAGCAGCTTCCCTAATAAGTTATGATCCCGAGATTTTGTGGGCGAACTTCCAGAAAAGTGTCGCCGCTGCTCATTCTCATACTCGCCCCAGGGCGCACTTTGGGTGTTGAGCACACACACGGCAAGGTGTAAAAAAAGGAGGGAGATTTCAACAAACACCAGCGCCGGCTCCTGGATGCAGCCTTAACTAAAGGAAGTTTCCAACGGCGCAGGGTCTTTTCTTTCTTTCTTTTTCTTTCTTCTTCTCTTCTTTCTTTCCTTTCTCTCTCTTCCTCCCTTCTCTCTCTCTCTCCCCCCCCCCCCCCTTTCACCTGGCAGTGAAGGCGCCGCTCCCAACCTCAGCGCGAAAGAAGCGTCTCCGGGCCGTCGGCGCATCTCTGCATCTCACTCTACTGACTGCTGAACAACTCGCCAAGAGCGCCAACTCTGCTCGGCCCGGGAGTTGCGGACTCGTCGTCCGTCTCGTCGTCCCCCCCCGCCCCGCCACTTCCCCGCTATCCCTTCTTTCATCCCGCGGAAAGAGGGAAACGGATTTCCCCGAGGCCGAAGGGCAAGCGCCTTCCTGGCGGAGCTGCTGCAACCCCCACTCCTCCTCTCGCTCAGCCCGGGCTGACTTTCGCGGAGGCGCCACCGATTCGAACTACATCACCGATCTTGGGCCAGAGGACGAGGAGGCGACCGGGCGGAGGAAGGGAAAAATAAAATAAAAAGGGGGGGGGGCGCAGAGCAGAACCAGCGCTGGCCACATACCCCACGGAGCCGGCCTAAGTCTGGGGCTGAAAATGAACAGGAGCCGGACCTCCCGTCCGAGGCAGTAACCGCTGCCCGGGGAGCAGAACCGACAAATCTCCACTCACCTCCGGCGCCCAAAGAAGGAAAGGGAAACCCAACTTCTCCCGCTCGCTCGGAGCCCAGCTGCCTGCCTCGCACGCCTCCCCCGCTCCCAGAGGAGGAAAAGGCGCCTGACGCCGAGTCCCGTGCTCAGTCCTGCCAACAGGCACAAGTCGCTCCGGCTACGCGCGCTGAGCGCTTCCCTACCTGCCTTCCTCCAGCTCGACCCCACGTACCGACCGTCTCCCTAAGTCTGACTCAAAATTGAAATTCCCTGGCCGAGGCCGTCAGCCCCACCCCAGCCCTAAACCGCCTCCGCCTGGAACCACGCCCCCTTTGCGCTTCTCAGCCAATCAAGGCCTCGGGACAGCTCTCGACCCCACCTATGCCTTATGGGGGGGGGTTTCTCGGCCCGTCAATCACAAGCATGGCCAGTTGCCTCCCTCCCTCCTGCTTTTTTTCTCGCCACGCCCAGCCAATCGCCAGACTTGAAGTTTGAAGAACCGCGCCTTCGGGCCCGCGGGGCGCGTACTGTTTTAGCGTGGATGCTTTCTGTTCTGCAAAGGAGGGAACAAATAAGCTGCCTGAAGTGAATTGGCGATTTAAAATCTTTCACTGGTTCCTTTTCCCTGCCAAATCGTTTATTGCATTTTTAGGCGGGAAGGAAATCCGGGATGCAGCGCGGTGACTGAGATTTCTTTGGTCAGGAGCTTTTAATGTCTCTTATGTCATCCATCGTGTCCCATATGCATTGCCCTTGGGTTACTCAACCACATGAGATACTTGCACCAAATGGGGACGAAGCAGCAATCTTTGTTAGCTCACTAAATATTTTTAGTTTTATTTGTTCTGGGGTGTCATTCCAATAGCTCGAATTCGAAACGATTCCCAAAATTCAAAAAGGGAAAAAAATATTAAAATTAATTTTAATGTAATAATGACCCACATTTTATAAGCTGCCCTTTCTGGGCTCTGGTATCTTGAAATCCAGGCAATAAATAAAATAATCTTTACTGACACTTTTTTTTGCTGTGGACATGCTGGCACACATCAAAAATAAAGTATTTTTCTGAAAGGAGGTGGGGCAGGGAGTCTTATTCAAAGCACTTGACATTTTGTCTGAACACCAATTTCTAGTGGGTGCAGGAGGATGCAGGATTCTCCACAGCACTTTTTCGATGGGCAAAGAAATTCTGGATCTATTCTGGTGCCATGGTTAAGAAATAGCCACAACCAGCACATTTGAATTGTATGCAGAGTATTGGTAACCTGTAGCTCTAAGAATAAATATAATTCTACAATTGCAAATTTCTCTAGCTATCAGTCTAACCTTCAAATTTTGGATCAGTTGAAATTTCCATTTTGTATTCCATAGATAGCCCTATGTGGAATAGGGTGAAATAGTCCAGTTCTGTGGAGATCAGGACATGTCCCTTGAACATTTTGGTCCAAACCAGGCCACAAGTGACACACCAATTGGAGCTAAGGAAAGGCACCATGGAATGCAAACCTATCATATTGCTGGAGTCTTGCAACTTTCATGGTAGGAATTATTTGAACTCATTTCTCCTCACACATGTTCCTTTCACTTCTGGACACCAATTCAGGACTTCCATAGCATCCACAGATTAGGATGGCCATAAACAGTTGACTATCTTCAGCATACTGATACACCTCACCTCTGATTGACAAGTAAGTTTCAAATAGATGTTAAGTAACAAAGGACATAGAGCCAGGGTCTGAATCATCCCACTCTGGAATGGCTGAAGCTCGACTTCCCAACTTCTACAACAATTTCATCCAGTGCCCTGCTCCCTTCGTATTCCAAAAGTCTACCGAATGTGGACAAAGGTGCCTCCCAAATTGTTGGGAAAATCCCCAAGTCCCAATCCACCTGGATTGATTTTATTTATTTATTATTTATTTATTTTTATTCCATTTATATTTAAAAATAATAATTCACTGTTCAAGGTGACTTATCTCCTGACCTATAGCATTTACATCTATGCTCTTTTGCAAAATCTTTGAAGTATATACTGGCCCAATATTCAACATTTACTTTCTGCTTAGTATAAATGTGTAAGTATATGGATACACATGGATAGCTATTTGCTTTTGATATACCTAAAGGATTAAAATAATAAATCATGTATCGTAGCACCTAAAACGATGAGATAAATTGATCTAAAGTTGGGAGAATGAAACAAATTCAATTGCATAGATTTTAACACAAAATAGTTTAACTTTACCTCCTAAAATTATGAACTCCCCTGCAAAATGTATGTAGTAAAATACATTTCCTTTTGATGTTACAAAACTCTTGGGTCCTAGCATGGATGTGGAATAATGATTGATGGTCATGGATGTGGGATAAAGATTGATGCAGTCCAACATCTGGTGGTTAAGTTTGCCCACTGTGGCCTTAAAGAAATCAATATAATTCATCTATATTAAAATGGGGATTTGTCACACATCAGTTAAGAATTAATTCAGTTTCATTTCACCTGATGGGCTTTCCAAAATGTCATTTTTCATACCAATTTTCAAACTGAAGAGCATGATACCTCCTATGGTGCTTAGCACAGTAATTCTTAGTTAACCAAACCATTGATTGCCGTGTTTGAACCATAGAAGAGCAAAGCAATTACTTCTCAACAGCGTACTTCTTGGCAAGATTTGCACTTGCAGTTGAGTCAACACAGCTTATGTGTTTTCTCCACATTTCTGTTTTCCCTAGGGTTTAGAAAATCTCAGAAAGAATGGGAAGAATGTTCTCCAACACTGACCCAGAAGCAGCAGCAACTTTTGCCTTTAAAGATTGTGAAGCTCTGAAGATGCATAGGAGACATGCAAGCCAGTTCCTCTTTCACTCTGATGTTATAATGGCTTTTAATGATTTTAATGACACTAGCCTCAGCAGGTTTAATTAACACCGTGTTATAAACAACTGGAGCTAAGAGCCCCTTCTCTCAATTAAGCCTCCCAAGCATATTGTCACTAGCAAGATGTTTTCGTGGACAAGACAAAGCCAAACAGGGAAGGAAGCATTTTGCAGGTCTCTTTTTCCCCATTTTTCCTTAACCAGTTGTCTTAATAGTTGGAGAAACTTGGTATCTAACATTCCTTCCATTGCATGCACAGATTTTGACTCTGTTTTGATACTTCTCATGTTTTTAAAGCCATTCGTCTTGGTGAAAATGTGACCCACTGACACAGGCTTGTATAAAGAGGAAAGAAAAACCTCGGCTGAAAGTAAACAGTCTAGCTGTCAGCAATGTTGGTTTAAACAACAATGCTGTCTCCTTGCTCCGTCATGCTTTTCACTTATGCTTTGACAAAGAGGAATTCATGAGCTTTAAGCAAGCTTTTGAGGGACACTGCTTCCTCACAGCCCTCACTGCCAAAAATTAAATTGTAGTTCCATAAAAAGTTTAAACAGTTTATTCATTCTGGGGGTGTCTATTTCCAAAATGGGGTTAATGGTCAGGGTCTTGAACTAGAAATTTTTAGCTATTGTTTGCTGACTATTTCTATTTTTCTCTCCATTTTTTATTTTGGTAATGACACAGTCACAGTCTGGATTTTAATAACTGTATTTTTGTGTTTCCATATAATAAAAAGGACATGGGAGCGGATGAGAAAACACTAACTATGGCACAAATTCATAAAGCTCAAAATAATCGATTTAGAGAAAAGAGGAACTTAAAACAACTACACCTCTGAGAACTTTTTTCTGGAGACAAACATTGGTTTCCAACACACTGCTGCAGTTTGGTGGAATGGCAGCTAAAAGATGAATTTAACAAGTATTTACGTTGTCCCTTATTTTGATGTCTGTCATGGGTCCCACGATCAAGGGAATTATATACTTGTATTACATAAATTAATGCTAGAGGTATTTAGAAGGAACACTATTTTATCAGGAATACATAAGAGAACACCAACATTTTCCCTCCGGCCTGCCCATCATCCCATTGCCTTGTCCCTGAATGATTAACTGGTTGGAGCTTTGGCAAAATTTCTTCCCTGTTCCTGCAAAGTAGAGGATTCAGTTCCATATTAATGGGCACCTGTCCAGACTTACTGGGTTAGTAATACCTCAGTGGAGATGTGAACGTCATTAGCAGAAAGGCGCTAACAACATCCAAGGATGTATTAACTCAGTTCTACTGTCATTCATAATTATCATAATGGCTAGGCTTCTGGCTTCTTTGAGCTAACAGGTTGGGCTTCAACAGCATTATATTTCTAGATGGCATCAAATCTAACTAAGCAGAAGTGTACTTTGAGGTAGAAGCTCCATAGGGTAATGCTTCCCACCTCCAGGTCATTTTAATTTTCTTTCTGCTTGCATTAATGCCATTACCCACTTTCTAATCAATGTCTGCACATTAGCTTGGTTTGGAAGCTGCATAT